TCCACCGCTAGAACATGGAAATATACATTGCGCACATGCGCGCAGCACACCAGACGTGCGCAGCGCGCACTGCGCACCCAGATGTGCGCCGCTCGCCGGAGCGTGTGCACCCTGGGTCCGCGCACAGTGCACTGCGCAGCGCACAGTGCCGGTGCGCCGCAAGTATGCTTTTTATGTATGATTTTTGTTTTGTTTCATTTTTGAATAGGAGAGCCTGAGTTATAGCATTTTCAATTCTTTGACAGCATAATAGATAGGAACGTTTTCTTTTTCTTTTTTTGTTTCACTCAGCAGGATTTTGATTTTGCGTTCGATGTTTACGAGAGCAAGCAACTACGAAGATGTCCGCCATGACTACCCCATACTTGTGGCTGGAAGAGGTAGGTGGTACACACATGCAGCTGCTGTCGCATGGAAGATCAAATGAAGACGGGCGGGTGATTTCAGTAGAACCAAGAGCTGATGTCGATTACCTTCTTCCCTCGAATAGAACGTGTGGTAATTTCTGGTGCATCTGGAATAAAAGGTGAGCCAAATACGGCTGTATCGACCGTATGCTCTCTTCGGGGGAAGACCGTAGGAATTCAAATTGACTCGCGGTTTCTAACATGTAGAAAGGATTATTGGAGGTGAAGGCGTCTGAGTTGGTTGTGATTGAAAGAGCACTCAGAGCTGCATGTAAACGCACAGATTCACATCTCTTCGCATGGATACAATACAACAATAATGTTAGGGGGCTAAGCCCCCTGAGAGAGAGAGAGAGAGAGAGAGAGAGAGAGAGAGAGAGAGAGAGAGAGAGAGAGAGAGAGAGAGAGAGAGAGAGAGCAGAAAACGTTTTATAGTAGTTTATACCCATTTTACTTCCAGCAGTGGCTCAGGTGTTCTCTTTTCGCTGCTCTTTGCGGGCTGCTAGGTGGGTTGTTGATGGCGTTGTAGATTTATCTGCAGAGAGCAGCAAAAAGCGAGAACACCTGAGCAGCAAAATGTGTGCTGATACCTCACTCTTGCAAAACGGAGCTATGACAACACAAGTCACTTTGTTTTGCAAGTGAACTGGGTTGTTGACGGCGTTGTAGATTTCTGTGTGTGCCGATAATTAACTCTTGCAAAGCAAAACAAAGCTCTCTAACACTCTCCCGTGGGTTAAACCATCACTAACTCCAAAAAGCTTCTCTTTGCCGAGGGGGAAAAGAACTGCGTGGCAAACTTTCCCAAAGCGGCAGAACGACCCGCCTTTTCTTTGTCTTCTTTTGGCTAGTCCTGCGAGCCATTTGGGTCCCCTGACGAGCCTCCAAAGCATCGGAATGCTACATTTTCAATCCTTGACGTTGCTTGGGAAAGGTAGTGGTGGGGTTAACAAGGTATATGCTTGTGCTTTTTTGTGCTCCTTGTACAGGCGTCCGTGTCTGTGTCTGCGTGGCTGCAGTATGTGTGTCTGTGGTGGGGCCAAACAGGTTGAAGGCACAAACAATGAAATAATTCCTTTTACCGAGTTCGAAATCTAATCTCATTGCAGATTGGACACGTGTCACATGTTGAAGATATCTTACATGACACCGCGCATTCCAGCCAGCTTCTTCCCCCATAACACAGCCCCCGGTCACCACGAATGCGTATGAGCACTGTTCCTGGCTAAATACATTCATAGTCATCAGGTGTTGCTCTGCTCAGGGAAAGAAGTACTGCCGGCGTCTTCGTAAAGCATCCCCTTTCCCCCCCCCTTCCCTATCGTAAACCGAACTTGGGACCCTGGCTGGAATTGTTTGCTATCTTGTCTGTTTGATTTGCCCACCTGTTTCTTAGTTACCTTTCCATCTTCTCCCCCCAATCCTGAGGACTGCGGCCTTGTGTTGTTATTTGAGAATCATATGGGTAATTACTAATTTGTTCATTTCGTTTTTGTCTTCACAGGAGAAGCGGCGAAAGAAGGAGGAGTTCATGAAAAGAAAGGAGGAGAACACACTCAAAAGCGCCCCTGTCCAGAAGGTGAGGGCGGTCAGTTTCTGCAGATTTAGGGTTTGGGCTGTGCGAGGTTCTCGCTTGTCTTGTAGTAGAGTACTTGTTGACGTCGTCATCGAGTTTCTCAGGACGTAGTCACACTAGGACTTTTTCTGCCAAGCTCTGGACGTGATTGGGGTCAGATTCATCCAGGTCTGGCTGTAATTGCAATCAGATATATGCAGGAAAGTGCTACCATCTTCACCCGAACACAACGGTGCGGCCATTATAGCTGTATTTTGGGGGCCTCTTTGAGTCTAGATACAGCAATAATGATCGTTTGTTGTGTTCGGGTGAAGGCGGCAGTGTGGGCATTCTGTTGTATGCTGTTGTCCCTCAGCTTGAGGAGGCTCTGTCTGAGGACTCAGGTTTGATTGAGATGCTGAGCGATCTGGGTGCCATCTGTGTCGTGTCGTGGGTGTGGTGCGCGTGCAGATTTCGAATCCGAAGACAATCAAGAAGATGATGAAGTCCAAGAACAAGCGAAAACAGCTCCAGAAAGTCGCAGAGTGATGGTGCTGTGACGGCCAGACAAGAATGGAAATTCCCAGCGTCTCTCTTCATGCCTGCTCCATGCTAAAAACTCCGTAGATTGAAAAAAAAACAGATCTTCTGTTACGACACCTGTAACTTTGCTGTGCCATATGGATTGGGAAAAGCAAACGGAAAAAAGGCTTTGTAATGTGGATAGTGTGATTGATGATCTTTGCAACACCAACATTCTTGCTGGGTCGACAAACAGGCGATACGCATGTTTCGTTGTTGTGTTCCCCCCCCCCCCCTGGATATGCATGTTTGTTTGTGGGCCTGCTTTCTGGACTCTGTGGCCTGTTTCTTGTTCTGTGTACATCTATGTACATCTACTTCTACTATATCTACTACACCTGCTAAATCTACTACTACATCTACTGCATCTACTACACCTACTACATATACTGCATATGCTACATCTACTACTACATCTACTGTATCTACTACACCTACT